GTTTCTTTTTTTATGGTTTTTATTTTAACTTTATGTGAGTGTGAAGGTGTCAGATCTCCTGGAACTGGATTTCCAGATAGTTGTGAGCCGCCATGTGGGTGCTGGGAATTGAACCCGGGTCCTCAGGAAGAGCAGTCAGTGCTCTTAACCACTGCGCCATCTCTCCAGCCCACCATTTTGGATTTCAGATTAGGTATGTTCCCACTGCCTGTAATGTAGTGTGTTTATCTCATGGAAATACCCCATTCTATTGGGCATTTTTTTAACCTGTGGACTATTATGAAGATGATTTCTTCCTATGCTGCACTATCTAATTGATAATAATGTTGCTATTTTAAACTATAGGTAATGTTTGGTATTTGGTTGTCAGCTGACATCTGAGTGTTAGAAGATGGAGTTCTCGGTATCTTGGGGAAATCTAGGAATGATGGTTAGAATCAAACTTGAGAACCACAGAGAACAGGGCATCGTTCTGATAGCACATGGCTCATTTAACTCAATCATATAGTTGAAATTCTATCAGAAGGTTATTGTGTGGACTCACTCACTGTAATGCATAGAATACTTAAACAGTGCCTGGCCCTTAGCAGGGATCTTTATCTGAGCAGTGAACAATGCTAGCTTTGCCCTCAAGACCTGGAAGTGCAGTAAATGGTGAGGGGGCTAGTGGGTAGGATCACTTTCTACTAATCCTGATGATCTGAGTTTCGTACCCAGAGTCTAAATGGTAGCAGGAAAGACGCAACATGGCACATATTCCCTCACCCTCAAGAAAGTAAAAATAACAAAAAATAGGTAAACATTTGATGGTCGTTCAGCTGGTGCTTATAGTAGTCAATAATTTATGAAATAAAAACCTTCATCAACATTTTGATTATTATATATCTATGTAATAGAATATTATGCAGACATTAAAATATATACACAACAAGTCTAATAATGGAAAGGTTGATACTGCCATGTATAGTGAGGAAAAAGCATGATCGGTGTTGGTATGACATAAACTAACATATTTATAAATAAATGCACAATAAATAGGTGTCCATTGCCCCAAACTTAAGGAAATATGTGAAGGATTAATAGCAGTTAACCTACATATTGTTTGTTTGTTTTTAAAACTATGCTTGGGCTAGCGAGAGGGCTCAGAGATTGAGATTGCTTGTGGCTCTTATAGAAGACTCAGGTTCCATTTCCAGTACCTACATGGTAGTTCACAACCACCTATAATTACAGTTCTGGTACACAAATACAGGTACTTTCTCCCCACCACCCAACACAATACCTTAAAACTGTTTTATTTGTTACTAGGGGTGATGGTTTACCTTTAATATCAGCACTCAGGAAGCTGAGGCAGGTGGATTTCTTTGGCTAGTATGGTCAACACAGGGAATTCCAGGACAGCTAGGACTATATGGTGAGACCCTGTTTCAACAAAACAAAACACACTATCTCACTCTTGCCAAATTCTCCTCAGAGACCATGTTAAATTTTATAATCAAGAAAACTGTGTGTGGTAACAAAATTTTCTCTTCCAAAGTTCCTCTATATTCATAAGCTCAAAAAATCTTAAGGGAGTTTATGAAGGTCACAGAACATCTAGAAAGTGAAATCAGAACTATGCGCTTACATTTATAATGATATAAATGTATTCAGTTTTTTATTAATGAAATATGTATGGACTAGGGTGAAAACTAAAGCAATGTTAAATGAAATTATGAAGCAAAGGGCCAGTGAGGTTTAGTGAGTAAAGGAGCTTGCTTGAGAATTCAGTGCCTGGACCTACATCATGGAAGGAAAGACCCAATTACCGCAGTCCCACATCGAATACTATGGCACTCTCCCTCCCCATGGAAGGAAAGACCCAATTACCACAATCCCACATAGAATACTATGGCACTCTCCCTCCCCAAATAAGACAGATAAAATTTAAAGAAATTATAAAACCCATTATAATGCAGAAAGATGTCATGATCACAATGGAAAACTTAGTATTGTCAACATAGCATGTATTCCACAAATTAACTTTTAGATTCAGAGGCATTTTGTGTTTAAATGAATAGGCTAATCTCAAATTTGTGTGGAAATGCAAAAGTCTGAGAATAACCAAAGCATATTTCTAAAAATAAATGGAAAATTTTACACTAAGTAATTTTAAAGCTTGCCATAGAAATGCATTAGTCACACTAATACGCAGTTCAGTGTGGCCCCACGTGCCACAGTGGAAGATTGTGAGTCCAGGTCAGTCTAGAGGATGTAGTGCAGCCCTGTCTCAAAAGAACCAAACAAGTATACTAATAAGAAATATCTTTGACATGAACATAAGATCAGTAAAACATAGTCTTGAATTCATATTCATATACATTGTAGGCAGAGACTGCTCGTGTGTTTCCTGGACACCCAGACCCAAATGATGACACAGAAACTATATTAATTACAGCACTGTTTGGTCAATAGCTTAGGCATATTCCTAGCTAACTCTTACATTTTAAATTAACCCATATCTACTAATCTGTGTACCACCATGTGGCTATGGCCTACTGGTAAGGTTCTGGCTGGTGGCTGGTGTCTTTCTCCTTTGGTAGCTACAATGTGTCTCTCTGATTCCACCCTCCTTTCTCTTCTATCTCTGCTTGGAATTCCCACATTGCTCTATTCTACCCTGCTATAGGCCCAAGCAGCTTCTTTATTCATTAACCAATAAAAACAACACATACACAGGACTTCCCACACCAGCTGCATTTTGAAAGAAGTTCCTAAATCAATGTGGGAAAATGTTTTTTAGTGGATATCGCTGTAACAACTGAGTATTTGAGGATGGTTAGGATTGGGGTTTTAGCTTGGTGGCAGGTTTGCTCCTCTCCCTCTGGGACACTGATGGAGTGACAGGGAGAGTCTTCACTGAAGACAAGGCCTCAGCAGCTAGTGAGGAGATGGGCTAGTGCCTGCCATCTCTCTTGGGATGTGGGAAAGGCCTTGGCTCCACTTATTTCCCCAGAGGCTGACCAGCTAGAGTCCCTGTGGCCAGACAGGGACAGCAGTCAACTTTCCTCCATTTCCCTTCCTGGGATGGGGAATGCTCTGGGCTGAACCAAGGTCACATGTATTTTACTTCAGGTGCACCTGGAGGTAAAGCCACTGAGAGGTCCTCCACTCACCCTCAGGGAGCTCTTGTTCCTCAGGGGTTCAGCAGTACATTTTTGTAAGTTTGTAGCATTAAGTTGATATAAAAGATGAAGTTGACTCTGCCAGGTAACTCCTAACTAGCTGACTGGCATTCGAAGTTGGTAAATTAGACTAATATGTACTGATGCACATTTGGGGTGATTTGTCTTATCCTAAGCTCAACTTCCTTCCCCAACAACTGACACTGCCTTTTCAACCCTCCTCCTGCCTCCTCAACTTTCCTGCCTCTTCCCCTATCCCCTTCCTCCATCGCTCCACTTTCCTCCCTCTGGCTCCTTGCCATCTGCTTGCCTTCTTCTCCTCTCTTGTGCCCTCCCCTTCCCAGACCTCTGCTCAGGTGCATTTGGTCAAAGAGCACAGAGCACGGAGCTGCATGTGTGCTGTCTTCCTCAGACACGTGCATGCTAGTGGAACAACAGCAACTGTACAACTTGTAAAGTCAGTCTCGCGACTTCTAAGAAAAGCCCACGCTACTGCCTGTGCATTTTGTTTTTGTTCGGTTTCATTACTTCATTTTATTTTTTTCATAAAACACTTTCTGAGGTAGTGAGGGAGGAAAACATCTAACTTGTGAGTATGTAACTGGAAGAACAAGCCAGCAGCGGATGGATGCTGGACAAGCACAATGCCCTGAACCCTTCATCCTTAGAGAACTCTTTGAAGAGGCCTTGAAGGGGAGAAGAGATGCCAAGTAGGTGAGGCAACACACATGGAATTTGGACGCTGAGAATCATAAGCTAAAGGGGAAGCAGGTACAAGTGGTAGGAAGTAGAAGGGGTTTAAGGCAGTGTCTTAAGCGTAGGGGTTATGGTTTAGAGATAGGGTTAAAATGGTTAAGGACAGGGTCAGGGTCCAAGACAGAAGTAGTGGGGATCTGATTTATGAGGGGAGTGGGAAGCCCTGGGTTCCACCCTCTCAGTACTGCATAAACTGGGTGTGCTGCCCCATTCCTGTAATCCCAGCACTCAGCAGCTGGAAAGAGGGGGATCAGCCCCACTCCCACCCTTGTGGAGTGGAATTTTTCTTTTTTTTTTCCAGCAGCATTTGGGCTAATAAAATGTTCTTGCAAACTGTGGTTAAATATGATTCTCTGTTTACTAGATGTGTCCTCTTTCATGTCTTTCATGATCTTTAAACTCAGTTTAGGCATGCATACTCCTGTACCCAGACATACATACAGATACACACACACACACACACACACACACACACACACACAGAGAGAGAGAGAGAGAGAGAGAGAGAGAGAGAGAGAGAGAGGCAGACAAACATAAATGAGTAACAGTTCCTCTTTCAGAAATGATTGCTTTATTCAACCTCCAATAATCATGATTTTTCAAACAGTATACTCTGGCAAATTGTGGTTCAGTCAGACTCTCTGCTCATCACACAGGAACCTGCAGGGCCCTGTCTCTGTCTTCATATTCACTGAACTCTCTTAGGACTTGGTGAGTTGCAGAAAATGCCCAACTTTATGTGGAAATGACAGGTCACTGCCCTCTGATTTGTTTGATTCTTTAATTTTTAAAAAAGATTTATGTAGGCTGAGTGTGGTGGTGCATTCCTTTAATCCCAGCACTCAGTAGGCAGAGACAGGTGGATCTCTGTGAGTTGGAGGCCAGCCAGGTCTACAGAATGAATTCCAAGACAGCCAGAGCTGCTACACAGGGAAACCCTGTCCTGAAAGCAACAATAACAAAAGAGAATTAAGCTTTTATTTTATGTACAAGAGTACTCTATCTGCATGCATGCCCCTTTACCAGAAGAGGGCACCAGATACTACCATGTGCTTTCTGGAAACTGTAAAGGAAGAGTAATCAGTCCATCTCTCCAGGCCTGATTCTTTGTTTTTCCTGCAGGCCTGCATTAGTGGAAGAGTGGGCAGCTTTGTATTTCTTGTGGACTGCTTTGCCCATGTAATGATTAACCTGTGACAAGAAAAAAGAATCAACTTCCTCGTGTAAAATTTACAATAAAAGACTGTTATTAATTAATTATTACCATGAGGCCATGGCCTACCAGCAATGTTCTGGCATCCTCCGTTGGCAGTTACGTGGCATCTCTTTGACCCTACCTACTCTCTCTTTAGATCTCTGTTCAGAACCCTGTGTTTGTGTACTCACTTCACCTTCCAGATCCCAGATTCGAGACACATTCTCTGCTGAGGCTGGTCCCCAGTGCTGGGATTAAAGTGTACATCACCACCGCCTAGCTTTGCTCTACCCTGCCATAGGCCGAAGCAGATTTATTCATCAACCAATGAAAGCAACACATAGAGAAGGACATCCCACATCAGATTATCTCAGTCAGCAGTCTCAAAGATTTTCTGAATGTAGAACTGGGAGGAAACTTCAACAGAGGAGCACTGAAATGTTGGATCATCTGGGCCATTCATTTCTACTGGAGATTATTCAGGGGGGTCTTCCTTGATCAAACCTGATCTTTCTTAACCAAAAATGAATCCATAGCCTCTCTTTTCCTGTGGAAACAAAAGTAAATCCTCTTCTATAAAGTAACATAAATTTTGAAGTCATTTTCAAAATATATAGGGTAGGTTAATCCAGCAGCATTTATAATCAAATGACTTTTAGCATATGTTCCTCTTTCCTCAGCAGTCAAACAATTCAAAGACAACACAATAACAGTATTCAGACTGTGTATTTTTCACCTTCATATAGCTTTCTTTTTCTTACCCTATTTCTTTTATTTTATTTGCTTTTTGGTTTTTTGAGACAGTCTTTCACTGTTTATCTTTGTCTGTCCTGGAACTCACTCTGTAGAACAGGCTGGCCTCAAACTCACAAAGATTCATCTACCTCTGCCTCCCACATCCTGGGATTAAAGGCATGCACCATCATGCCCAGATACTCTACTTTAAAAATTTTTTTCTACCCTTTTTCTCTCAAGCCTACATATATTTTTAAACATATTGTAAACCATTTAAATGTTTTTATTCTATCTGAATCTGTTTTACTGTATATTTCTACCTTTTTCTGAGCATGAGTCTTAAATCTACTAAGCAGCATGGTTAACAATAAATCTGCAGGTCCCTGGCACCACCAGGAAGCATGCCACCAGCTGCTCATAAAAACCTTTTAAGTGATTGGAAACAGGACCTCTTATAAGGGCTGCCATTTGGTTTTTGCCATTAAGTTTGGAAGCCTCAATTAAAGGAGCTGAGCTTCTGCTTGCTGCCAGCAAACAGAGCCTACCAGAGAAAAGATGGCTACCAAGAAGCTGCACTTGACTCTGTTCTTGTCTGACTAGAATACTTTTTTTTAAAGAAAGCTTTCTCAAGCTTCATGTGGATATTCTTTCCAAACGTTAGGGTGCCATTTGTAGACAGAAGTTTCTGTCCGGCCTGATCCTGCAACCATTCATCCCAAAGAAACACACAGAGGCTTATATTAGTTATAAACTGTTTGGCCTATTAGCTCAGGCTTATTACTAAAATTCTTACAACTTAAATTAACACATAATTCTCGTTGATGTTTAGCCATGTGGCTCGGTACCTTTACTCAGTGAGGCATTCTCATCTTGCTTCCTCTGCATCTGGCTGGTGACTGACTCTTTGACTTTCCTCTTCCAAGAATTCTCTTAGCCTGGTCACCCCCCTCCCATTCTTCCTGCCTGGCTACTGGCCAATCAGCATTTTATTAAACAAATACAAGTGACAAATCTTTACAGTGTACAAAAGCACCATCCCACAGCAAATATCCATAAAGTTTTACAACTGAATTAGTTATTTCATGTCATTGAAGAGATACATGAAATCTAAAAGAGTTACTTTAACATTTAAGTTTGTAGGGCTCTGTTCATATGAGTTTGTAGGTACAAACAAAATAATAATACACTGCTTGAACAGATTGTTGACACTGTCAGATTTTATCTCCAGAATTCCCTTGTGTAACTTAAATGTGTTAGCTAAAGGTCTTCCCAAATCCTTTATAGCTAGAGTCTCTTCTGTATGAGTTTTTATCATGTCTTCAACGACTACTGTGATATGCACAGGCTTTAACAGAATGGTTTCACACTAAAAGTTTTATTGTCGTATAAACAGTACTATGAAGTGCAGAACCTTACCACATTAACTACATTTGTAGGGTTTCTATGCAGTTTGATTTTTTTTTCTCATAGTTTCAAAGACAAAAATCACATACAAAGGCTTTACCACAATGATTACTTTCATAGTGTTTCAATCCAGTGTGTGTTCTTTTATATATGTGGAATCTACTGTTACATGCAAAGGATTTCCCACATTGATCATATCAACAATCAGGGTTTCTTGCCTGTATGTGTTCGCTTATGTGTTTTGAGATATTTGTGAAATGAAAAGGCTTTACCACATTGATTACATCCATAGGGTTTCTCTCTGGTATGTGTTCTTTCATGTGTTTGGAGACTACTGTCACGTGCAAAGGCTTTACCACATTGACTACATTCATAGGGTTTCTCTCCAGTATGTGTTCTTTTATGCATTAGAAGAGCACTGCTATATCCATAGGCCTTACCACATTGATTACATTCATAAGGTTTCTCTCCAGTATGTATTCTTTTATGCATTAGAAGGTAACTGTGAGTGGTAAAGGATTTCCCACATTGATTACATCCATAGGGTTTCTCGCCTGTATGTGTTCTTTTATGTGTTTTGAGATAACTTTGAAATGCAAAGGCCTTACCACACTGATTACATCCATAGGGTTTCTCGCCTGTATGTGTTCTTTTATGTGTTTTGAGATAACTTTGAAATGCAAAGGCCTTACCACATTGATTACATTCATAGGGTTTCTCTCCAGTATGTGTTCTTTTATGTGTTTGAAGCCTACTGTGACATGCAAAGGCCTTACCACATTGATTACATTCATAGGGTTTCTCACCAGTATGTTTTCGTCTATGCATTAGAAGATGATTGTGTTGAGCAAAGGCTTTACCACATTGATTACATTCATAGGGTTTCTCTCCAGTATGTATTCTTTTATGTATTCGGAGATAACTGTGAAATGCAAAGGCTTTACCACATTGGTTACATTCAAAGGGTTTCTCTCCAGTATGTGTTCTTCTATGCATTAGAAGACGACTGTGCTGTGCAAAGGTTTTACCACATTGATTACATTCGTAGGGTTTCACACCCGTATGTATTCTTTTATGTGTTGTGAGATAACTGTGAAATGAAAAGGCTTTGCCACATTGATTACATTCATAGGGTTTCTCTCCAGTATGTATTCTTTTATGTGCTTGGAGAATACTGTCACGTAAAAAGGCCTTACCACATTTATTACATTCATATGGTTTCTCTTCACTATGTATTATTTTATGCATTTGGAGACTACTGTCACGTGAAAAGGCCTTACCACAATGATTACATTTATAGGGTTTTTCTCCAGTATGTGTTATTTTATGCCTTAGAAGATTCCTGTTGCATACATAAGTTTTACCACACTGATCACATTCATAGCGTTTCTCTCCAGTATGGATTCTTTCATGCCTTTGAAGCTGATTATTATAAACATAAGCTTCAACACTTTGAGTATATTCAGAAGGTTTCTCTCCAGTATGGCTTCTTTCATTCCTGTAACAATAATTGGCACATGTTAAAGTTTTACCATATTCATTACACTATTGAATATATTGCATAAATTCATTTTACAATTTGGTCTAATTGTAAATAGGAACCAGATCTTAAGGTTTTATGACTGTGATTACATTCATATTGTACTCTTTCATTAAGGGGTGTTTTGCATCTTTGAAGATACCTATGATGGTAAGAGCCTTTATTACATGGTTCACATTTATAACATCTTTTTTTCTATTTAAGATTTTTCACATATTTGAAAAGAACTGGAAAAAATCAGAGCTTTACCACACATATTACATTCATAAATTCTCCTATAATGTGAGTCATACTACATTTGCAGAGTGAACAAGAACAAACAAGTATTTAGACATTCCTACTACTCACAGGGCTTTTCTGCAGTATGAATTTGTTGCTGAATTTTCAAAGAAGTAAACTTGAAACCTACTGAAGAAGTTCATTCAAAGTGGGGACTAATATATATCTTCTAATTGATCTGAGAGGGAGAGGGCTATGTTGCTTCTTTTGATAACCCTATGTTTATATGGCTTGTATCCAGAATGACATAGGATATTAAAGGAAGAATTACAAATAAAAGGTGTCCATGTTCCATTCATGAAGTTTGAGTTTCTGTTCCTCATAGATATATGGTATAGGGATTAAAGTTCCTGCACAACAACTGCCCCTTGGCTCTTGACTCTAACTACCCCTCCTCACACCAAACATAGCAAAATCACAACAAGCATATGAGGAACACAAGCTTTATTATAGACTGTTTGCTTATTAGAAAGTTTGGGACATATACGTATCACCAATTTAATGAGCATACCTTTTGTACTATGACTGGCATGAAACTAAATGGATTGGCAGTTCCACAGGACAGCTCGCATGGGGCTATAATCGAAATGGTGATATCTATTAAGAAACTGTTTCCTTCTCTTCTTTTTTTAACATAATGATTTGCAAACAAAATTCACCTATATGACATCAAGATATGTGGTTTTGTGAGAATTTAATAATCTTCAGTGCACTTTAAGTTGTCCTTATTTACACTGTTGCTTTCTTTTAAAATGTCTTACAATTTCCTGAGGCATATTTATATTAGCTTGCATATGAAAATTACCTTCCAGGTCTTCTAGAACTTTGACGTTCTTCAAAATTATGATCTTCCCATTTGCAGCCTAAAATATAGTAACAGAAAATGAGTAATGTATTATTGGAAAATGTGCAAAATTTAAGTTGTTATCTTCAGTGAACCTTAGAACCATGCCCAACTTATTCACATCATCCTTCCTTAGTCTCAATTACAATTACAAAAGATCATCTATAACCAAGAAACAGTCATCCCCTTATTTTAAAATGTGAAGGAAAATTCACAATATTACCTATAGCAGTGAGGTTCCTGTAGGTCTCTAGCATCACATCTCTGTAGAGATTCTTCTGGGAAGGATCCAGCAAAGACCACTCTTCCCAAGTGAAGTCAACATACACATCATCATAGGTCACTGCATTCTAAAATATACATGTGTACAAAAGAAAGTGATAGATAACCTTGCAAATGTATACTTCTTTGAAAATACAGTCATATAATTCTGGTGCTTCTCAACATATTTCATGACCCAGAAGTTTAAATGTAATCACCAAGTTATTTTAGAAGAAAATTGAACAGGAGGGTCAACTCTGGCATTTCTGCACCTTTATATGGGATATCGCCTTGTTAGAGAAATGCCTGTTAACAGACTCAGAGAGACAAGTAAACAGATCAATAGTACTGACTACACATCAGAGAAATTGTATGAACAGCTACCAACTACAAAAACATGATGGGCAAGCTGGTGTGCTAGCTCATGTCTGTAATCCTAGTACTCAGAAGGCAAAGGCAGGTATGTTTGCCTCTGAGTTGAATACTGGCCCCACTTATGCAATCAGTTCCAACACAGACGGAAGTACATCATAAGAACCTGTCTCTCATGCAAAAATCAAACAAACAGAAAAGATATTAAAAACTCAGGGGTTTCTTACTGAAGTTCCTACAAAGAGTATGTATTCATTCCAGTTCTGCATTCATATTCGAGAAACATGAAGTGCCTGTCTAAACTGTAATATAAATAAGACCTTTCTAAAAGGAACTGCATATTTAAACAGGTACAAATGGACAGATGAAAACAAGCAATGTAAATGTTGATCATAAATAACATAGGGCAAGAGAGATGGCTCAGTAGAAAAGAATATTTGCTGATCTTTCATATAGGTGAGATCAATTGCTAGTACTTACAGGGGGGAAATCATAATTACCTATTGTCTCAAGTTCAGAGGTTCTGAGACCATCTTTTTACTACTATGAGGACCAGGCACCCATGGGGTGTATGTCCAGGGAAACAGACAAAGACTCATATTAACTTAAAAAAATTCAAAGCAAATACAACAGGCAGGAAGAATGTCACAAATTTGCAATCCAATGACTCAAACTGCTCAGGTAGTATTAGTGTCATGAGCTTTTATTTATTGCAATCACGAGCTTAAACTCTCCATTCGTTCTGAAACAGAGGTTGGTTCAGGGAGAGCCCCAAGTTCAGCTGTGGCAGGGTTTTCAATGATTAAAGTATGGGAGATGGGGTAGGGGAACTCCTCATTGGGGAGGTGTGATGGAGGAAGGTCATTGGCTAATAAAGGCACTGCCCTGTTAACACAGATTTTTGCTGTTTGTTGGTGTCGTGCTGTAGAGAGATTTCCTGATTCAGCAACAGTAGCAGAAAAACCACTTTGTCATTTTAAATCGCAACTTCCTGGGGCTGTGCCGCCATTGCGATCTCTGTCTGGCTCCTGCGGGAGACAGAGCTTTTGAATAGAGCATTTGGAATAAAGTGCTACGATTTGTTTGATGGCAACTTGACTCGCTGTGTTCTCGGGTCTGCTCTGCTTGCTAGAGGCAAGCGGGCGCGTCATCTAAGAGAGGCTTCCTGACTCAGCTTTAGCTGCAAAAGCCTGCAGCTCATTAAGAGGTCCTGCCACGAAACACTTAAACGGTTAAAGCTGAACGCATGCTTTTCGGTTTTCAGCCATAGCAGGAAAAAAGCTGCGCCATTTAAAAAATGCGGGCTTTCTGGGCTGTCCTGCCAGGACAAACTCTGACTCTTTTACGCAGGCGGTTCGTGCGGTTTGCAAGCATAGGCTGCTGAAGCTCGCTTGCTGGCAGGGACCTTGAAATGCCATACAGTTGTTGCAGTAAACATGGCTACAGCCAGTACCTCAGCCATGAGGCTGGAAAGCTAAGGAATGGACTGGATCCAGCCGGCAAAGCCACGCCTTTAATCCTACTGATATTGCTTGGTAAATTAAAGACTCGTGTGGTCAGAAAAAGAGAGATATACAGTAAAGAGAGATTCAAAGACAAAGAAAATGTTTAAATGGTTTACAGTGTGTTAAAAATATATGCAGACTAAAAGTTGAAGTTCTTAAAGTAAAAAAAAAAAGGAAGAGAGTTGTTGTGTGTGGTAGCACACGCCTTTAATCCCAGTGCCTAGAAGGCAGAGACAAACAGATCTCTGTGAGTTCAAGGTGTAGTAGTGTACACCTTTAATCCCGAATGCCTGGGAGGCAGAGACAGGCGGATCTCTGAGAGTTCAAAGACAGCCTGGTCTACAGAGTTACTTCAGGTCAAAGATACAGAGAACCTGTCTCAAAAAGCAAAAAGTTAAAAGTAAAAATAAACAAAATAGAGGTTAAAACACAGCTGCACAAAGATGGAAAATACACAGAGAATTTTGATACTGTATGCTATTATGCTCTCTTTGAATTGTTTGAATGCTGAGGAAGGACAAACAACTGCTAAAAGATATTTGTTTATAAATGCTGCTGAACTAATCCAACATAGATACTTTGAAAATGCCTTAAATTTGAAATTTGGATCTAAGGACATGATGCTTTGGAAAGGAGTTTCTTATTTTGTTTTCACAGAGGATGAGACGCTGTTCATTTCTTCTATTCCGATTTGGTATGATGGACCACGCCCTCCTGAAGGGTTGCAGTGAACATCTTCAGAAAATTGCTTCGCTCAACTGCCAACTGAGATGAAACTAGCACACAGGTTATACCATGAAAGACCTAATTAACGACGCCCCCATTCAGCAGGAAGCAGTTTGGAGAGAAAAAACTGCGCCCATGTTCCCAAATATGGTTTATAAACGTTCTTTTACATTTAAAGGGGGATATGATATAGATATGAATAATTTGCATTAGTATAGATTTTGCTTTATTGATAGAGATTTAAGGTCAATTTTGTTATATGTATAAGTGTTTCTGATTTTGATTAAGGTATTGTGATTGTGTAGTTCATTTAAATATGTACTGTATAATTAAGAAATATAGGTTGTTAATGGATAATCATCGATAATAGTAAAGCTTGTAGTCATGTTAGTTAGATTTTCTAGATATATAGAGATGTATTTTAGTTAGATAGACATTCTTCATGTCTTTCAAAGATTACAGAATAGGACATTTAATGTTTTAATAACTGAGGACTTTTCATGACAATGAGACACTCTGCTCCTGGCAGCACCAATCTACTTCAAGAGGAAGATGGGCATCAAAGAGGCACCTTATGGAGTTTGATAGCCATTTGGGCAAGAAACTGCTCTTGCCTGGACTATTGCATAAACTGGACACAGAGAACCCGCAGAGGACTACTGAACTTGCCTAAGGTGAGATGATCTTTCGGGGTTCCTGATTCATGAAAGAGTCTGCGAGACATGCTGCAGGACACAACAGATAGTGACTGAACTGACTTTGAATTTTCCTGCTTTATGGTATGTCTGCTGGATACCATGGGCCTGAAGGCTGAAGATGGATGCCCCAACGGTACAAAAGAACTTTGGGTGACTGTCCAGGCAGCAAGATGTCTCTGTCATTTCTAGAGTTTTAAAAGTTGCTTTTTTCTTGTTTGCTTAGGTAGTATTGTATCTTTCTGGAGTCTTTGATGGAGTTAAGAATAGTTAGTTATAGTTTTCCTTAGTTATGACAAAGATTATTGTAACTTTTACTTGATAACTGTTTTGTTATATGTAATTTTGCTATGTTAAAGCTTTTTTTTTTTGTTTAAACCGAAAAAGGGGAAATGATGGAGGAAGGTCATTGGCTAATAAAGGCACTGCCCTGGCCCATTTTATTGGTTAGAGGATAGGTGGGAGGAGTAAACAGAACAGAACGCTGGGAGGAAGAGGAAGTGAAGTCAGTCTCGACAGATCTCCTCCCTGGAGCAGACGCCTCAGAGAGAGACACCATGCCCCACTCCCGGCATGAAGCTCCGACCCAGGATGGACTAGGCTAGAATCTTCCCGGTAAGACCGGTTCTCACAGATTATTAGAGATGGGTTGATCGGGATGTGAGAATTAGCCTGTAAGGGCTAGGGCTAAAGGGCCAAGTAGTGCTTAAAAGAATACAGTGTCTGTGTAATTATTTCAGGTAAAGCTAGCTGTGGGGGCGGCTGGGTGCTGGGGACGCAGCCCTGCCGCTCTTATTACTACAGAGGTGAGAAGCAACAGGAGTCTTGTCAAACAGGGATTGGTGCTGGCACTGCTGCAGGGAAATTGAAACCTATATGCAAGTTATGTAAGCCATTTTTAACTTTCTGGAATGTCTGGTACTTGTTTGTCTCAATTCTGACTGGTGGCTGAACTCGGGACCAATGTGAGGGTGAGGCCTAGTACCTTTCATGACTGCACTAATGTTAAGTTAGTCCTCCTCAGTACAACATCAATGTTCCACCAAATTTGGCTTCTAATTTGTGATGGGACCTGCCATACTTCATACAGAGTTGCTTAAGATTTTTATAGGAAATTCCTTCCTGGGACTAGGAATCACTTTTCCTAATCCTTCCATTAACTGAGGGCATAGAAGGACGGATTCTTAACCTTAGGGCACCTTGCTCCAATGCAGAACAAGGGCAATCTCTTTAATTGTGATAATCTCCCTGAAAATTCCTGCCTCTGTTTCAGCATTTGGCTGCCATGTGAAACTACTTAGGCCTGCTTTTCCCTACAACCCACAGATTTTCATTTATTTCTGCCCAATTTGTTGTTGTTTTCACTGGAGTCCTGAATGAGCCACCATTAATAGCCATCTAGGAGATTCAATATTTCATCTAAGAAATCAGCCCACCATTTTTTAATTTTCTGCCTTATTCAATTTCTCAGGGCATATCCTCAATTGATGCTCCATTAGATGACTGTATGTAAACAGAGACTGTTCTTCCATTTCCTAGCTGCCCAGACCTGAATAATCACACAGAAACTGTATTAATTACAACACTGCTTGGCCAATAGCTTAGGCGTATTCCTATCTAGGTCTTAGATCTTAAATTAAGCCATTGCTATGATTTAATATTTTACCACGAGGCTCATGGTTTACAGGTAAGGTCCCGATGTCTTCCTCCTTTGGCAGCTACATGACATCTCTCTGACTCTGCCTACTCTCTCTATATATCTCTGTTTGGATTTCTTGCCTGACTTTACTC